AATTGTCAGTTCTAGTGTTAACACTCACCACAAAGCTGGGTATTTTCAACAAAGGAGCACACACCTACGCACCTAAATTGCGTACCTAAATTGCACACACAGCACCCTCCACCAGCTTACTGAATGCCTTTGTTCAGAAACGTAACAGATGAACGGAGTTTCTGCAAGACTGTGTAACCAGAACCAACCAAGGCTAACCGAGGCTGACATTAACTAAGCTTAGCAGCCCCCAGCTTTGTCAGTGACCCAGTGGAAAATGTTTTTTGAGCATAATCAGGCGGTTTTGAGCAATGCTTCCCTGCCCTGCTTTCTTGCTTTTGCTTGTACTGATGGATAGGACTTAAGCAGCTCAGCCACTGGTAGCTGGATTTTTATCCCTCAGCCTGAAAGCCACCAAATTTCACATTTTCCCCCACGAACCTTGCCCAGGGCCCGATTCCCTGGAGCAAGTATAGATTGATATGTATTTATGGCAACCAGATCTTGGCTGCAACACTCCAGGTGACCACTAGATGGCATCACAAGGCTGGCATTTCCTGTATGCTGGCATCTAGTGGTGCCCCCAGGTTTTGCAGCCACACATCTGCTCCAGTTCTTCAGGTCACCTCAAGGTCCCACCATCTCAAGCTTCCTTCCTTTCATGATCAAAGAACAGTTTCAAGGAAGATGTTTAACATGCCAAGAGACGGTCCATTTTGAGGGTACACCACATGGTGCAAAAACCGTAGGCCTGCTGAGTTCTGATCTCCTGTCTTCATTTTAGGCTTGGGGTCACAGTCAAGAACAGCTTCGCCATCGGTAGCCGGTGATGTGGAAGGATGGAAAGGAATTCAGCGGAAAGCATGGTGGGAGAAAATCAATGTGGAACTGCTATTTTCAGCACAAGCCCCAGTCCTCAGCGGTGCCGAATCTTGCCCTCATGACAGACCTTGGAGAGTTTAAAGCAAGATGGTTTTTAGAAAAAGTCTTCCTCAACTTGAGCTCCTGGTGACTGCATAGACATGTTGTTTATCGTTATTTATATTTTCTTGGGATAGTTTTTCTATTTCTTTGTCTAGCTCAGTGTTTCTCAACCTCGGCCACTTTAAGAGGTGTGGACTCCAACTCCCAGAATTCCCCAGCCCCCAATCTGGGGGGGGGAATTTTGGGGGTTGGGGGCACAACACTTT